CAAGGTCTTCCAGGTAGTCCTTCGTCATCTTGAGATCATCTTTCCTTTATCTTGATATCTTCCAGGAAGACCTTCCTACCTTCATTTTGAGATCTTCCAGTAAGACCTACCTATCTTCTGTCCTTCCTTCCTCTCAAAATCTTCCAGGAAGACCTTCATTTATTCATCTTAAGATCTTCCTTCATTTCAATGTCTAACATGAAGATCTGTTCTTTTCATCTTGAGATCTTCTATAAAGACACTTCTCTGTCCAACCACCATTACGGGGTCATCTGATAGGAACGTTGGGAAAAAAGAAGCCATGTTGCTGTCTGTCCCAATATAAACCCCATAAGGTTTAGGTTAAGGCCCACATTCTCCAAGCCTTCCTTCATATTGAGATCTTCTGGAAGGTCCTTCTCATCCATTCCTCTCCATAGGGAGAAAATGGAATATTCTTGGTGTCTGCCCCAGATATATAAAGCCCTTTACGGCTCATGTCAAGGGTACCCAAAGGACTATACCTCTTTTCAAGAGGGTTATTTCCTTCACCTTGAGATCTTCTAGAAGGTCCTTCCCCACATTCCATCATCCCCTCAGGGATACCTAGTAAAAGAATGGGTCCAGACAGACTCAGCTCACTCCCATGTCCATTTCTTCCTGTAGAAGAGCTGGACAAGTTCATCATGAACACGCCTGAGAACTGTAGGAGGAACCCTGCTGAGGCAGAAGCCTCCTGGAACATTCCGTCCCAACTTACACAACCACTTCCCATGATGCTGTCCTTGTACCACACACCCAACTCACTGGCCCCCATGCAGAACCCACTACTGCACACACTCTGCAGTATGGACCACAACCCCCTCCTGCAACCAATGCTGCTGCCACCACTGGGCAACATCCTCCGTTACCATAAAACTTAATTTAATTGTTCAGAGTTTCCACATCAAGTTGCAGTGATAACTTGGTATTTTAAACAGTCATTAAAATGTATTGTTTAACCATTGTCAGGTGTCACCAGTGGCACAGCAGGTTAAACCAGTGAGCTGCAGAACTTGCTGAACGAAAGGTAAGCAGTTTGAATCCAGGGAGCAGGGAGAGCTCCCGTGGTTAGGCCCAGCTTCTGCCGACCTAGCAGTTCGAAAACATGAAAATGTGAGTAGATCAATAGGTACCAGGAGGGAAGGTAAGGGTGTGCCATGCAGTCATGCCGGCCACATGCCCTTGGCGGTATCTATGGACAACACTGGATCTTTGGCTTAGAAACGGAGATGAGCACTAGACTTAATGTCAAGGGGAAACCTTTACTTTTATAACCACTGTCAGTTTCGATCATTTAATAGTAAAATCTGAGAATTTTCTCCCATTGTCTTTGTACGTATAAATGTACATAATATTAGGAAATTAAGGACAAAAATGCAACAAATGAGTCCCACCTTCAAACGAACAAAAGGACCAGCAAAACTGTATGAAAATCCATTTTAATGAACATGGGAAAAATTAAACTTTTCAGTACCCGGACCCACTGATATCCTTCCTATGAGAAAGAGTGATATTTCCTGTAGTGAAGGTAAATATAGATATTTTCTTATCCCTTTTAGGAAAAGAATACATATATATAATATGTATATTATATATACACACATACACACTCTTCCATGAATTTGCTTTATATATTCATTAACAAAACAGTGGTATTCGCAATGAATCTTGAAAAAAAACTGCAATTTTGTGCTCTGTGGTAAAAATAGTGAAAAATGGCATTCTTTTGAATTGAATTTTTGTAGGATAGGCTCAATTTTCTTTCTAATACGGCAGCTCCTTTCCCGAGTTAAAGACTATCTTGTCTTGCAGCAAAATATTATTATTATTGTATTAATATATATTACTATATTAATGTTGGTATATTATATTATTAATATTAATGTATTAATATGAGTTGAATTTTTGTAAAACAGCCTCAAATTTCTCAAATATTGTGGATTCTTTGCTGCATTAAATATTATTTTGGCTTGCAGCAAAATATTAATATTATTGTATTAATATATATTACTATATTAATGTTGGTATATTATATTATTAATATTAATATTAATATGTATTAATATTAATATTAATATGTATTAATATTAATATATTAATGTATTAATATGAGTTGAATTTTTGTAAAACAGCCTCAAATTTCTCAAATATTGTGGATCCTTTGCTGCATTAAATATTATTTTGGCTTGCAGCAAAATATTAATATTATTAATATATCAATATACATTAATATGTAATAATATGTAGTCATATAAGAATGTTTATAGGATAGGCTCATATTACTCAAATATGGTGGATCCATTACCACATTAATAATATATATTAATATAATATAATTATATTAGTACATAATATTAATGTCATATTTTGTTATTATCATATTAATTCCTATTACTGACATGTTATAGTATTATATTAATATTTATTAATATTGTCATTATTATACTATATTGATATCAATGTTAATATAATAATAATTAATATATTAGTATTTTGCCATAAGCCAAATATATGAATACTGCATTGTATTTGTATATGAATAAGACCACAGTTGAGGTTGCCACAAACTCAACACAATAATCCAAATACCCATAAATGTAACTTGCCAGTATTTTTCAGAGCCTTTGTTTCTACGCTTTAGGTACTCAATTCCTCTTCAAAAAATAACATTTGTCTCTATCATACCATTGGGAAACATTATGGATCCTCCATTGAAGAAGCTGTATACAATTGTCACTTAGTGGTCCATGGTCCATGGATGGACCCGTCTGTTGGCCTTGATCCATCGGTCATCTCTCCTCAAGAGGAAGTTGGGTTGTCCATGGTGGCCAAAAGCCGGACGACTTGGGTCCGCTGGGCCCTCGAGAGATGCTGGGTCATGTGGATGATGCAGTCCATGGTCACCTCAGGGTTGGCTTGGACCAAGCTATAAGAGAATTAGAAGGTTTGTCCAAGGACACCATCCAATACCTCCCAACTTAGAAACTTCCAGAGAAGGAAGGAGACTCCGCCAGACTTCCACTGCCTTATCATTATGGAGTTCTTCCTACCGTTTGAACCAATGGCTCAATGGGACCTCCTTCCAGATATGTAAACATGGCCCTCATGTCCACAATTGATCTTTTCCTTCTCCAAGGTAAACACCATCTCAATGGAACAATAACTTCCTATGATCAATACTGGCTTATCAAGCTGAATGCTGACTTCCTATTTTGTCAACGTTAACTTACTAAGCTGAAAGTTGCCTTTCTATGGTCAACACTGAATTACACTGAAAAACGAGTATTTTGTTTCCTTTACATGCTAATCACATAAATAACTTCAAAGTTGTCACACCACGTAAGGTTTTTGAGAAATGGCCAATTTTGTTTTACAGTCATTGTCAAATTATGAAACATTTTCTTTCTCGGCAGTAATTTGCATGATTTTTTAGATTGTTCATATCTTTGACAACCATAACCAACATTATGTAACATGTAAAAGAAACTCAGTCTATTAGCATACCACAAAATACATTTCTGATCATGTAGAAACTTGCTTGGGCATGTCGAAGGCATGGACACTAGAGGATGAGGAGGTAGACAACCAGTCATTTATATTACATTCCTAACAGAACAA